CTCATGAATTGTCCTTTCTCTCTGTGCAGATTACATGATTTCCAGGATGCATCAGCTCCAAGAGCCTGACCTCATTTGTTTACTGCACAAAGCAGCATTACAGTAAATACCATGCTTATTAAGGCAAATTGGCAGGAGCCACTTGCCAGATATGACCAAAGGAGGGGGAGGCCAAAGCATTAAGAATCATTAATGAAAGGATGCATTTACACAGGGCAATGGAAAAGCTAAGGCTGCTTTGCCCAGAATCCTCAGAAAACAGTAATATTGGGTTCACAGAGCCCTGGAAGCAACTGGCCCTCAGTGTCCTGAGGAAGCTTGGCCACAGGCATCCAGAGGGTACCACGACTACTGAGCGGGAGAGAGCGAGGAGGCTGTAGAAGCAGGCCAGCAGCCAGGTGGGCAAGAAGCTGGGTCAGGAGAGTGAATCAGGGGGGTAACTCAGTCAACCGGCTACTACTCCAAGCCTCTATAAAACGAGATCTGTGAATTTCACAATCCATGTTTTTACTCTGGTGCGGTGTGGAGTGTGTGCAGTGGGAAAGAGTGCAGGGAGCAAGCTGACCTGACCATCACCCCCCTCCTCGTGGGTGTGGGTTAGCTAACAACCTCTGCCCATCTCAGGTCTCCCCGATGCCTGGAAGCAGAGACTGGTTCCCAACGAGCAGTAGGGATCAGCTCAGGGTAGATCCAGCATTTCTAACTGCGTCCATTTCCTCTAAGGAAGAGCATCTGGGATATATCCACTGCTAGCAGGTCCATAAGCAGCCAGCATCTCACACTCCTCCACATGCCGGACTCTGTGACCTTGGACACATCCGTGTTTGGTTGTCATCTCTGGCCTCCCTTCAGGGACATTTTACCCCTGTCCCCACCTTGCTCCTTCCTCTCCAGCCGAACTGCACAACCCACCTAGCCAGCACCCACTGTGTAGAGCACAGTCTTCGAAGCATGCTTCCCAAAACTCCATAACACTCACGATTTCTTTCCGAGTTACTGTCTTAGCTAGGGTTACTATTGCTGTGGTGAAACACCATGACCAAAAGCAACTTGGGGAGGAAAGGATTTATTTGGCTTACATAGCTTGGATCACAGTCCACTGTGGAAAGCCAAGGCAGGAACTCAAATTGGATGGGAACCTGGAGGCAGGAGCTGATGCACAGGCCATGAAGGGCTGCTGCTTACTGGCTTGCTCAGGCTGCTTTCTTATAGAACCCAGGACCACCAGCCCAGAGGACGGCTCCACCCACCATGGGCTGTACCCTCTCCCATCAATCACTAATTAAGACAGTGCTTTATAGGTCTGCTTAGAGCCCGACCTTATGGAGGTATTTTCTCAAAGAGAAAAACACTGCCGACTCCAGCTTCTGTCAACACCAGCCAGCAGTGCCATCAGATTGTGCCCGCCTTCCAGAGCTTTCTGCAACTTGGAAGAGATACCTAGAAAGGAATACAGCTTGGATGATATAGTTTTGGGCCAAATGGACACTTTGAGGCCTGAGACCACAGAGAGCTGAGAATCAGTGCCATTACTGCAGAGGGAAAGCGGCTGCTTTTATTTCTCCGTTTGTTCGGGGAAGTGTGTGGTTGAGGAGATACCGCCAATTTGCCCTTAACTGTGCTTTCCTGTATCTTTCCCTTGAGCCTCATCCCGATCTGCTCAACCATCAGTGTACCTTTCACGTGCTAGGAAAATATACCGTACATATGAGACCACACAAAAGGATCTATTAGGTATTCTTGTTGGGAGAAAGATGTCCTCTAGGAGACCTAGTTGCCGGCACACGTCTGGACGAGTTATTCTACTCCTGACTGTCAGACTATCTTGACTGTCAGCATCCTGTCTTTGCTAACGATACAGTCAGGAAGATCCCAGACCTTAGTTTTAGAATGTTTTAGCTGTGTGTATGTCCTGAGTGCAGCATGATGTTTAAGAGATGGGTCCCTCCCTACCCACTGAAGATCCAGGAGTGTCCCCACTAAGTTGTCAGAAGTACTTGCCACTAAACACCCCAGAATGGTCCCCACTAAACACACAGGAGTGCCATTCATTAACACCCAGAGTACTCCCTCACTAAGCACCCATCCAGGAGTGCTCCCCCACTAAACACCCAGCAGTGTTTAAATAAACACACAGAATAGGTCCCCACCAAATATCCAGTAATAACATTCATTAAACCCCAGGAATGCACCCCATTAAACACCAGGAGTGCCCCCAATAAACCCCAGAAATACCATTTTAGGTTATGAAGTCTACAAATGCCTCTAAGAGTTGCCAAATTACTCTGCTTGAGAATCACGGAGTTAAAGACTACAAAATTGGAGGGATGGCTAGGCAGTTAAGAGCAATTGCTGCTCTTTAAGAGGACTTGGGTTCAGATCCCACGTGGTAGTAGCTCACAGTAATCCTAATTCCAATTCCAGGAAATCCAATGCCCTCTTCTGACCTCCACAAGCACTGCATGCAGGTGGCACACACACATCCATGCAGGCAAAACCCTCACATAAATAAGATAAATCTAAAAGATCAAATTTAAGAAAAATTACAAACTGAGCTGGGCATTGTGACACATGGTCAATCCCAAGATTATAAAGCCTATAATCCTGTAAAAACTCAAGAGGCAGGAAACCGAAGCAGAAAAATCTCTAGAAAGAAAAAAGAAAGAAAGAAAAAGAAAAGAAAAAAATGGTACAATAACCACGCGCTACTTGGGGGAATGCACAGCTGTTTTTACAGTATGGCAATATGTTATGCAATTCAGAATTATCCCTACTCACTTCTGTCTTACTATAAGGTAAACAGCTTCAAAGAAAAAATAATCCTGCAACTAATACAGCATTTAAAAAAAGAGCATTAGGTAACGCTCCACACAGAACCCAGACTGGAAGGTATTCCTTCTGCCCTTAGTCATGACAGGCTTTCAAACAACACATGCTTTGGGAAAGAATAAAACCACTTGGGACACATGTGCAGCCTGTCCTAGCAGCAGAGCCGGCAGCAGACAAATCTCAAAGCAAAGATACTTTTTCTTTTAAACATCCACAATAAACTAAAATAGAGACACAGTGCTAATTCACATCATAGCTTTCAAGCATCTTTTCCAAATTACTGTGGGCCCGAAACAAAGAATAGATGTACAGTCTCTTAGTGGTCCCTACAGAGCAGGAGGTGGCAACGAGACGTCTCGCTGTGGGGACACAGCAGTGACACCGGCAGTGATGACAGAAACCACTGTGCCACATCTCAAGGGGAAAGAAAGCATCGGGATAAGGTCTGACCGTAAAAAATGTAAGTGAGGAGATGGGGATTTTTAAAAACCTATTTAAACACTGCACAGTGTGTGGGAAATCAACCTTTCCCCTTAATATGTCCAACTTTTATATTTTTTTCTTTGGTTTTTTCGAGACAAGGTTTCTCTGTGGTTTTGGAGCCTGTCCTGGAACTAGCTCTGTAGACCAGGCTGGTCTCGAACTCACAGAGATCCGCCTGCCTCTGCCTCCTGAGTGCTGGGATTACAGGCGTGCACCACCACCGCCCGGCCCAACTTTTATATTTTATATGTCGGTTAAAAATTCTATTATTACGTTTTTAAAATATTCAGCAAATATGAAAGTGTATGTTGCATACGCAGGGCAGTTCCTTTTGTTCATGGGGCATTCTGGTCTTCTTGTTCCTTACAGAGCCAATAGAATTCCCTAGCCATCTTAAGACAAAGACAAAGCTCCTGAATGGAAAACCTCAGGACTGGGAACTGGGAACTGGGGACTGGGAACTCGGGCCCTTGACCACTCTTCTCTCAGCCCCCCCCCATAAAAATAAAAATAAAAATAAAATAATTCAGACCCTTACACATCCAAACTCTTAGAGATGAATGCAGCCTGCAGCCCTTTAAGCAACCCCCCCCCCCTTTTTTCCGAGACACAGTTTCTCTGTATAACAACCCTAGCTGTCCTGGAACTAGTTCTTGTAGATCAGGCTGGCCTTGAACTCACAGAGATCTGCCTACCTCTACCTCTCCGAATGCTCGGATTAAAGACATGCAGTACCACCACTGGCCTAAGCAGATGTTTAAACTATTTGTTTTTAACCGCAGGTCATCTCTCTCACCTTCAACCCTTAGATCCCTAAACTAGCCCTCTTGGACCTTTTCCAGACAGTGGCTCCCCCGAGTGTGGTTTCTGGGGGAGCACTATTGAAAATACAAACTCAAAAATGCAGGGGTTTCATCCCTGACTCGGGCTGGGTTCAACCTGTTAGAGCAAACGCCGCAGGTGATGTTCTGGAGCCCTTACGGTTGAGCCTACTGACTTAGGACCGTTTCTACATCTACTACCGGGTATATTTTTATCCCACAAATGGAGGTCGTAATTCTTATGTCACCGTCACCCCACCACAAAGCCTGTACCCTCCTTTCAGCGCTGTCAACGGATCTGCACTGCACTTCACACTGAAACAAGATCTGTCTTGCTCTCTAAGGAAGCCAAAGGTTGGTTTGCTAGTCTTTTGTCTGTTTTGACTTCCTTAGCTTTTCTCTTTGGAATAACCTGGAGAAGCTGGGTGCTGGAAGTGAGAGATAGCTATGGGGGTGGGGTCCACATCGCTCTGGTCACCAAGTCCGAATTGAAGTGCAGGGCTCAGCTGAAGAACATGTCCTCCTGCCTCCGTTTCCCTGGGTGACTGCAGAATGCCAAGGAGTTCTAGAGCACTGGAGGAGACACACCTACTCCCACCCCAAGAGCCGCGGACCCCTCGCCTCAAGCATCCTAGCAACCCGGCTGCAGCGGGTGGCCCTTGAGGGACCAGAGACTATGGAGCCAGCCCACCTGGAGTTGGTAGGAGGTGCAGAGCGGGGACCCTACTCATGAGGGCACAGGAATGGATCTGCTTCCCGTGCCTAGGGACTGAAGGGCGCCTCATCTCAGTGTCCTCAGGTCCCCGAGGGAGAGGGAGCAGGTCGGTCTAGACCACGCACGCTCGCGGGTGGGAGGTGATGGCTCACCGTGTGGGTCGCTCTTCTCGCGGACGCCGTCCACGCGGCCGTCGGGGTGGATGCGCAGGAAGAAGCCACCATTCTTGCAGTAGAGCCGCTTGGGGTCCTTGAAGTGGCCGGGCGGGAAGGCGGCACCGCCATCCTCGGGCAGTGCGGGAAGCGTGGTGATGCCGCCGGCAGCCATGGCCCCTCCGCGGCCCCGGGACCCCGCTGTGGCTGATCGCGGGGCTCCCCGGCCCCGACCCCGGCCTCGGCCTCCCAGCGCGCCTCGCCCGCGGGCAGCCAGCCTCCCGGTCCGCGTCCCGCCGCCGCACACGCAGCCCGGCACAAGACTCTGCCAGAAGCCTAGAACCCCTGTGTGCCACAGCGGCCCGGGACCGCGTCACCCCAAGTCCCCGCCTGCACCCCAGCCCCACGCGCCCCCGCCCCCCGCGCCGCCTCCTCCTCACGCCTGGCGCCTGAAAACTGCAAGGAATCTGTCCGGCTTGGAGGAGCTTTCTCTAGGCGACTGCGCTGACGCAGCTCCTAAAGTTTAAAGGCAACTTTCTCGCTTGCTTTCCGTCTTTTAATGCGGCGCGGGCCTTCCACCCGCAAAGCAGCAGAAAGGGTCTGATCGGGGGAGAGATCCCGTCAGGCTTTGAAAATCTATAGTCCCCGCAGAACGTAAACTGTGGAAAGATAGGGTGCAGGAGACAGAGGCCAAGAAGGGGACGCCTGGGTTCCCTTTCTGGGCGCCTAGCCCTAGACAGCGTGGGAAGATGAAAACGGCTTCGGAGTTCTCAACACGTAAAAGCGCAGAGCTGGCGCTTGCCCTGCCTCAGTTGTTAGACGTTTCTTGGGAAAAACTGAGTTTTACAAAATTACAGTTAATTGCGGTTGGTGATTTTCAGTAGACCCTAATAGGTTGTAGATTCAGATTCTTTGCACTCTGTATTGGGAAACGAGGTGATTCTCACCCCTAAGTCCTTCTCTGCTGGGGACACACCTTTCCAGTGAAGGTGATTACCAAATACCAGTTGGAAAAGCTGCACACCGCTAGGTCTATGCTCGAAGCATCTGAGATGTGTGGTCCACGGTGGCACAGGCACAGACTACTCCGAGGACTCAGACACAACAGAGTGCCCTGCCCTGTGGAAGTGTGGGCTTAGGGAAGCTTCTAGAGGTGCCACTGTATGCTAGCTGTAAAAGGTCATGCTGAAGAGCGTTTAGTCTCCACGGAGGTCTTGACTCAAGTGTGTGACGGGCATTAGAAAATTCCCCAAACCTTTAAGATCATGCCTTTTCCCCAGCAATCAGAGGAGTGTGCGCACGATCGCTTTCCCCTTGCCTCCTGCTAGGCTCATGGCTGAAGCCCCCATGACATGAGACAAATTAACATGAGAAAATTACTAACTTATCTAATGTAAATCTGTAATCTTGAAAAGGAAACAAAAGCCCCATGCTACACAGGAACCTGTGTCTTTGGGTTGGGACTTGTGTATAATTGCGGAGAACAGTGATTGAAGGGAGAGCCATCTAATGGGCATAAACTGGTGTAGTTAGTTTTCATTCTTTAAATTTTTTTATGCATTATTCTTTTGGGGGTCCACAACCCAGCTCCCAAATAATCACACAGAGACTTATTCTTACCTATGAATGCCCCCACCTTAGCTTGGCTTGTTTCTAGCCAGCTTTTCTAAATTAAATTATCTTATTTCCCTTTAACAACGTTTTGTCTTGGGCTTTTTGCCTCTCTTTATCTTGCTTTCCTTCTCACTCTGGCTGGCTGGGTGGCTAGGAGGCTAGCCCCTCCTGTCCGCCTCTACTCCTTTTCTCACTCCTCCCCTCCTCCCTTCTTCCTTTCTATTTATTCTCTCTGCCTGGCAGCCCCGCCTATATTTCTCTCCTACCTAGCTACTGGCTGTTCAGCTTTTTATTAGACCAATCAGGTATTTTAGACAGGCAAAGTAGCACAGCTTCAACCTAAGAGTTAAACAAATGCCATGTAAAAGAATCCAACACATCCTAGTATCATTAAACAAATATTCCACAGCATAAACAAATGCATCACATCTTCAACTAATATTTCACAACAAGCTGGTGTGAGGAACTTAGTGAGTCTTGGTTGTTCTGGTTCTCTATGACCCTGTCCTCAGAGATGGGAACTCCCTGACCTGAAGGTATAAGGTGGACATCTCTCAAATGCGGGTTTTACAACCTGAATAAGAGAACACTAAGGGGTTGTGAGAGCACCTGTCCTGCTTTTTCCTTTTCTTTTCCTTCGTTTTGTTTTGTTTTGTTTTTCAAGGCTGGGTTTCTCTGTGAAGTGCTATAGTAGCTGTCTTAGAACTCATTCTGCAGACTAGGCTGGCCTGGAACTCGGGGATCCATCTGCCTCTGCTTCCAGAGTGTACCAGCACTGCCCAGCCTTGCTATTATGCTGGCCCTTCTTAAATGCTGCTGTATTCTTTTTTTTAAAATATTTATTTATTTATTATGTATACAATATTCTGTCTGTGTGTATGTCTACAGGCCATAAGAGGGCACCAGACCTCATTAGAGATGGCTGTGAGCCACCATGTGGTTGCTGGGAATTGAACTCAGGACCTTTGGAAGAGCAGGCAATGCTCTTAACCACTGAGCCATCTCTCCAGCCTGCTGCTGTATTCTTAAATGCCGAGATGCCATTTGGGGACAACATCCTCAACCCCATCAGCTCTCTGACATCTGTGTCCAGAATATTACTCTCATCTTCACTGAGGATCCGCTGAGACAAGCAGTTCCCTTCCAGATGTTGAGAATGCCCAGGGAATGTGTAGTAGAACCACACCCAGCACTCCATCTGCAAGGCATACAAGATAAGGGATAGCAACTACCATACAAATTTGAGGAGCATCAATGTCAAATAGTTAGCTGGCTGGTGTGGGCCACATATTTATGGAACTATGTTCCATTCCACACCTGGTTCCCTCCAAAGTCAGGAGAGAGGGTGTAACTGGAGGTTTCTCTCCCACTCACCAGTTCCTGAATATCCATTCAGAGGCTTAATATTAATTACAATTGTTTGGCTGATGGCTCAGGCTTATTACTAACTAGCTTTTACATCTTAATTAACCCATTTCTGTTAATCTATGTATTGCCACATGGCTGTGGTATTATGTGGCCCTGGCATTCATTACTTCACATCTTGGTTCTCCTGTGGCTGCTGGCATCTCCCAGACTCTGTCTTCTTTTTCCCTTTGTCTTTGCTTGGATTTCCCACCTGGCTCTATTCTGTCTGGCTATTGGCCAAATTAGTTTCTTATTAACCAATGACAATAAAACATATTAACAGCATACAGAAAGGGGGAAATATCTATTCAAATCTTCCCTTATCCTAAAAATCCCAACCATGCTGGATGGTGGTGGCGCACGCCTTTAATCCCAGAACTCGGGAGGCAGAGGTAGGTGGATTTTTGTGGGTTTAAGACCAGCCTGGTTTACAAGAGCTAGTTCTAGGACAGGGTCCAAAGCTACAGAGAAACCTATTATCGAAAAATAAAAAACAAACAAAGAAAAAATACCAACCATACTTTAGAAAATGGTTAAACTAATTCTATGAAAATCCGGTTTCCAAGATAAATTGCTAATAGTCAAAACAACTCGAAGTTAAAGCATGAATGGTTATCAATAGGAGCACATTTAATGAAATGACTTATGTAATAAATATTAATTAGTGAGTAAGTAATTCACTTAAGAAAGTTTGTGAGCCTGTCATTACCAGATATACCTCTCTAATGAACTATTGTTGCTTTTTTAAGAAATGATTTTCTACATGTACTGAGAAACTGGGAAGCAAGTGAAAAATATAGGATGTCCTGCTATGCATCCCACATACGTCGAGTTCTTCAACAAATACATACAACATGTCCACTGCTTAGGCATGCTACATTTCAGGAACACCTGCTTCTAAGCATCCACAGAGGAAGAGTTCTCATCAAACTGTGTTTATACTCTTTGGCTTTTTAGGACACACCCAATACATGTACAATTGTTTTCTACTTACATGGCTTATTTTAACATACAGATAATAAAGCAATATAATAATCTGATATGAAATCCTCAAGAAAAACATAAAGCTCCTCTGTCAGGGGACAGTGTACAGAAACACTCAGAAAGGACCAGTCTAGGCTGCTTTACAGTACAACTTCCAACAAAAGCCAGGTGGATGGATTGATTACAGAAATCTTTATTATACACCAGGAAGGTTAGAGAATACTAGAACCCTCAAATATCCTTGGCTCAGGAAAACCTGAGAGCCCTACCAAGAGCCCTACGGTGCTTGTGAGGTTGTCTAAAAGGAAAAAGAGCACAGCAGTATGCAGAGGGGAGCCTGTGTGTGCTGAAGTCTGTGTGTGCTGAAGTCTGTGTGTGCTGGAGCCTGTGTGTGCTGGAGCCTGTGTGTGCTGGAGCCTGTGTGTGCTGAGGCCTCTGTGTGTGCTGAGGCCTGTGTGTGCTGGAGCCTGTGTGTGCTGGAGCCTGTGTGTGCTGGAGCCTGTGTGCTGGAGCCTGTGTGTGCTGAGGCCTGTGTGTGCTGGAGCCTGTGTGTGCTGGAGCCTGTGTGTGCTGGAGCCTGTGTGTGTGCTGAGGCCTGTGTGTGCTGAGGCCTATGTGTGCTGGAGCCTATGTGTGTTGGGGCCTGTGTGTGCTGGGGCCTTTGTGTGTTGGGGCCTGTGTGTGCTGAGGCCTGTGTGTGCTGGAGCCTGTGTGTGCTGAGGCCTGTGTGTGCTGGAGCCTGTGTGTGCTGGAGCCTGTGTGTGCTGGAGCCTGTGTGTGCTAGAGCCTATGTGTGCTGAGGCCTGTGTGTGCTGGGGCCTGTGTGTGCTGGAGCCTGTGTGTGCTGGAGCCTGTGTGTGCTGGAGCCTGTGTGTGCTGGGGCCTGTGTGTGCTGAGGCCTGTGTGTGCTGGAGCCTGTGTGTGCTGGAGCCTGTGTGTGCTGGAGCCTGTGTGTGCTGGAGCCTGTGTGTGCTAGAGCCTATGTGTGCTGAGGCCTGTGTGTGCTGGGGCCTGTGTGTGCTGGAGCCTGTGTGTGCTGGAGCCTGTGTGTGCTGGAGCCTGTGTGTGCTGGAGCCTGTGTGTGCTGGAGCCTGTGTGTGCTGGGGCCTGTGTGTGCTGAGGCCTGTGTGTGCTGGAGCCTGTGTGTGCTGGAGCCTGTGTGTGCTGGAGCCTGTGTGTGCTGAAGCCTGTGTGATCATGTATAAGTCAGAAGCCTGCATGCTGTATGTGAGAGTGGAGGTACAATCACTGTCGTTTAAGGCTAAGTCCGAAAATGAATCTTTGGAAAGACAGCACAGGAAATAAGGAAGAGAGAGTGTTAGAGAAAAGGACAGCAAGCAGACAGTCCAGAAAGTAGAGCTCCCATGAGT